CTTCCCTCTTTCTCTCTGGCCTTGGGTCCTTCCCTCTTTCTCTCTGGCCTTGGGTCCTTCCCTCTTTCTCTCTGGCCTTGGGTCCTTCCCTGTCCCTACCTCCCCTTCATCCGTGGCCTCTCCCTGAGTGTCTCTGGCCCGCAGGTGATTTCCCCAGGAACAGCTCCTCCAGTGTCTTGTCAGTCTTGAACAGCAGGGCAGAGGTAAAACGTGAGCGTCTGGAGGACGTGGTGGCGGGCTGCCGCTACCGCATCAACAACCACTTGGACCACAAGTACAAACCACAGTCTGTGGACAAGATCATCAGTTCTGCCAAGGAGAAGGTGGGCCAGCAGATGCCGTATAATGTGCTGAACAAGAACTGTGAGCACTTTGTCACGGATCTGAGATATGGCCAACCCCGCAGCTTGCAGGTAAGGCCCTGTGTGGGGTAATTCCTCCCCTTTCTGATATTATACCTGAGGTGGAGGTGGGGTGTCTTTTTAAAACTCCCAAGTACCTGGGATGAGTGACCTGGGTGAGTTAGACTCACCAGGCTAGAGAAACGTGTTGTGAATGAGGCAAACACGACCCCTTAGAGACTCACTTACAAGCTAGGTAGGAGTCAGGCCATTTACGCCTAAATAATTCCCAGAGTCACGTCTAATCCACTGAGGCTGTCTGGATAGGTCATGTTATTCTGAACCTCACTTTCTCTGTGGCATGGTGAGGGCTGAAAGGACTTTGAAGACCTGGCCAGCTCTGACTGTCTGGATCCTTTTTCCTAGGCACCAGGCTTAAAGATAGCTCCTGGGAGACCCTGTGAGATGTCAGGGAGAGTCAGGGCTAGTTCAGGACCATAGATCACTCTTCTCATCCCCCAGAAAACACCCAGGGCCATGTGCTCAGAGTCTGTGGGCCTACATAAGAGCTAGGGAACATTTCTCCATAAAATCTCAGGCACAGTGTCCCTCCCTGTCCCTTCTCTCTTCCAGGGATGTTTCTGGGAGGATCCATGGCTCCCTCCCACATGTAAGCTGCACACACTTTGTTCATTCTGCTCCTCTCATTACATCCGAAACATCCAACAGCCACCGAGTCCCTGTGGACGGAGCTTGAGCTTTACTATTAATCCCTGTGCTTTCCATGACAGCCCCAAACCCCTTTCCTGGACTGAGAGAACCCACTGATGCATTGGGGGTGAAGTGTGAAAGGCATCCAGAACAGTCCATAGCAGGTTGCTGTACTGAGCACATTCCAAACGACACCTCCCTTCATCCTTCAGGAAACCCTACAAGACACATTTACGATCCTTCCTAATTTACAGATAAGGAACAAGGAGAGGATTTTTGGTTGCCCCAAACTGTACAGCTAATAAGTAGAACCCAGGACCCAACCCCCAGCTGTCCTCTCCTTGGGTCTTGTCACTTACTCCTGCCCTACAGCTCCACCAGGGCTCAGGGCCGTGGTGACTGGGTGGACAGACCCTTGGTGAGAGAGGAGAGAACGGCAGGAAGAGCAGGTTGCAGAGGGAAGTCAAGTGTTCTGAACTGGTGATGGGATATTTTAGGGCTCCTCTCTGATAGACACTAAAGAGTCGAATACAAGTGTCTGGAGATCAAGGTGGGAGTGCAGATAGAAATTTCCAGGCAGTTCTTTGTTTCCTGACTCCAACGCATCTGTGGCCACAATCCTTGGGGCTCTGTCTCCAGGAAACCAGGAACTTATTTTTCCCTATCTACTCCAAGTCACGGAAAATGCCCCCACCTGGGAAGGACTCACTCTAAAGGACTCCACCTACCTGCCCTGCCATTTCTCAAGACACACTCCAACAGGGCCGGTAATAAGAAATGGCCACAATCCAGGAAGTGGACTCTCTGGGGACACAAGGAGCAGCCTCCCTGGTGGGAAACTCCAGGCTGGTCCTGGGGGGGTCAGGAGAAGGAGCAGAGTCTCCAGGCCCTTGGGAAGGGGAGAGCCACCTGAGTTTGCAGAGGACACTAAATGCAAGTTACTCACCTTACAGGTCGAAAAATACGCAATTGGAGGAGGTGTGGTCTTGGGACTTGGATTTCTGGGTGCTATTGGATTGTCTGTAATGAACAGGAGACGTCAAACCCAGTGACCGCTTGAAAGGGCCAGAGAGTCCCGTGTTAGAAGCAGCTGCAAAGGCTCCGATGAAGATAGGCCTCCCTTTGCTCCTCTCAGGTCTGACCTTCCCACGCTGATGACCTCTAACTAGTGAACTTCATTGTCATCTGTTCCTTCTTTCACCCACTAAAATACGTGTCACTAATAAGCCTGAAACTATGAATAAATGCCTATTGATCCCTTCAGAAAGACCCTCTGCTGTGTTTTGTTTACTCTTGAACCAGAAAGGAAGACAATGGCAGGAACTTCTTGCCATGTGATTCTGGGAAAAGCTCTGGATTCTCAGAGCCTCGGGCCCTTTAACTGAAAGTTGTTGTTGTTGTGGTGGTGGTGGTGGTGGTAAGGTGGCATTGAGTTGTCTCCAAGTCACAGCAACCCGTGAGATGCACTGATGGTTCACTTCCCGGTAGCAGTGTGAGGACCTCAGAAGGTGAAGCCCAAAAGATGCCGGGCACAGAACCGGGCACATGTTCTATGAGTTCTCCGCAGAGATGACACTGACAGATTAACACCAATAATTTTGTTCTCTGAGACATCTGAAATGTGATAGAAATCAGTAAAGGCAAATATCTCACTTTGCAAATAGTGATATATTGGGACTTTACCTCTCCGGGCAGATAGACATTCCAAGCCCCTCATTTCAGCCAAGAATCTCTGCTGGGAGATTCAAGCAGTGGATAAGGGTCCATTTGAGGGTCTGTGCTAGCCA